TGCCTGTTTGATTTAACCCAAGCCCAGTTCTTCAGAATGTCTAACTATTCCGCAGTGGGACCCCCTCTTCAGGAGCTGGTAGGCAGAGAGGCTGTGTATCAGGGGCCCTCACACTGGAAGCTGGTGAGTAATGGAAATTGCCCTGTGCTTCAGTGTGTTGGGGAGGAGTGCTGAGGGTTTCCTCGGGGTTGATGGACTTCACAGCTATGTCACAGGGAAGACACACTTGCCTGTTTGGTCATTTTCTGCTTAGCATAACTTATATAACTGAGGATCTTCTTATATAACTGAGGATCTTCCTGGTTCCTTCCAGTGCACTGGTACCAAAAGTTGAACTTTGACTTCCTCCCTCCCTATCCGGCTTCTTGGCTTCTTTTCCTTTTGGTACCGGGGATTGAACTCAGATCCTTGCGCTTGTGAGGCAGGCGGTGGAACCACTGAGCTAAATCCCTGGCCCTTCCTTTTTTTTTTTTTTTTTTTTGGTACTGGGGATGGAACTCAGGACCTTGTGCTCTCAGGACAGGCACGGGGCAGGTGCGGGGCAGGCGCAGGGCAGGCGCGGCACCACTGAGCTACATCCCTGGCTCCAATCCAGCTTATTCTTACCAACTTTGTTGCCTGGGTCCTGTGTTCTTTTTTGGTTTTTGCTGCCTTGTTTTTCATGTGGCTTTCCTGAATGAGTCTTGGTGTTCTCAGTGCTTGCTGACAGAGACCCACTCATTGTCCATGTACAGAGTGGCTGTTGAGTGCCTCTTGTGTCCTGAACACAGTGAGAGTCCTTAGGGGTACAAGGCTGTGCCCATCCAAACATTCCTTGTCTTTGTGAGCTGGAGACGATGAGGTAGAAATCACAAACTGTGATGTCTGCACACGGAGGAAAGGTACAGATGCTGCCGACCTAGGAACATTTGATTAAGATCTCCATACCCCCGCCTCACTTATCTGGCAGTAACTCCCCTTAGTTTTGATTTCTTCCTTCCATCGGGATTGTATGTAGTACCCTGCTCTCAACTGTGGCTCTCTTTTGGGTTGTTGGCAGTTTGCCCCCAAGCCCTCACCTTACCCAATGCTGCTGCTAGTTATGTTCTTACTCACTAGGGGGCGCAAACCCTGATCATCCATTGTCCTTTGGAAGCTCTTTTCTCCTTGTTTTCTTTCTTCCTTTTTTGGGGGGGGGGCGGGGGAGCATGTTTTAAACCATTTATTTAACTGTAATGCCATAGCTTGCCTTACATTTGTTTTCATACATCTTTTTCTCATGGTGACTTAGAGGAACTATCTTCAATCAAATATATATACATTTGAAATAGATACCTTGTATCTTTCAGCAAGAAAAACACTGAATATGAAGAGTAAAGATGTGGCACCACTAATTGGGTACAATGAGAATCTGCTCTAAGTATTCATTTCTCTGGGGCAAGGGCATCACATACTTGTTCAGTTAAGAAAACTGTCCTTAGAATTCAGAGGACCTTTTTTATTTTAAACATTTCTGGGTATTAGGCGCTGAGTGCTTGAGCTGTAGACGCGTGCACACCCACACACACACCTGCATCCGCCATGAACTCACGAATATGTCCTAATAGCTCGGGCTCCTGCTCTTGGTTCTTGAAAAGTGTGCTTCTCTGGGCGGGGCAGGCTGGGCCTTCAGTTGAAACCAGGCACCTTTCTCTTTGACTTCCTTCATTTTTCGATCATTTTCCTTGATAGATTTCAGGAAGCTATCTTAGCTCTTAACAGTACGTGATACACCTAATAGGCACATTGATTCTCTTGGCAAGGATCTTGCCCTCCTTTACAATACCAACAGCATGCTGGGCAACACTGTAGACGTCCAGCTTTGCCATGGTGACATCCATGTGGCGTTCGTTTTGAACAGTACCCTTTCCCTTGATGTCTACATTATCGCCCTTTTTGTAGATTCACGTATATGTGGCTAAAGTAATAACCCCATGTTTTCTAAAAGGCCTGCTTCCTCTCGTCTTTTCTTTTGTCTTCTGTTTTGGCAAATTACTGCCAGATAAAAGGCTTTTCTTGCTGAAAGGCTTTCCTTGTTTTCATAGTAACTGACTTTGTTGTTTCTTTTCCTACATCTTTATTAGCTTCTGTCTTAGTCACTTTTCTTATTGCTGAGACAAAATACCTGATACCCAAAGTTAAAGTAAGAGGGCCAGGGATTTAGCTCAGTGGTTCTGACGACTGCCTCGCAAGTGCAAGGTCCAGAGTTCGATCCCTGGTGCCAAAAAAAAAAAAAAAAAAAAGCCAACAACAAAGTTAAAGGAAGAAAGGTTTTTTTAGCTTACGGTTCGTAGAGGTTTCAGTCCATAGTTGGCTAGGTCCAAGGCAGAGGGGCATCACAGAGGAGAAACAGCTCATGGTACCCACAAAGTAGCAAAAGCAACAAGAAACCGTAACAGCATCTTTCTGCCCCTTTTTATCTTATTCAGGCTACTTAGGAAGGGTAGCACTCACACCTTCAATCCTGGTGCCCTTGGGCCTAGCATTGCACTGTGAATCAGTCACACACTCCAGATTCGGCCTCCTCAGAAAAAGCCCCACCTAAGACCACAAGAGGCTTTGCGGGGGGGTGGGGGCATCTAAACACAAGCCATAACAGCTTCTTTGTTATATTTTCTACTTCTTTGTATTCCTAAAAGTTGCCTTACTCTGATTTTGTTAGAATAGGGCGTGTCCAGGATTTCTCCAGGGCCAGTTGGCCTGTACAGCTGTGTCACTGTGAAGGGAAGGTGGGGTGAGCATCCCTTGTCCTGTCCTTCCTCTGTCTTTTCTTGGTGTCATTCACTCTGGAGCACTGTGGGTTGCCATCTTCATGCAGGTGGCTGGCTACTTTCTCTCTCTAAGTTACCCTCCACTTGCCAAGCATTTGGTGGCTTGCTCCATATGGAGGGATATAGTACTTGAAATAGAATTTGTCTCTTCTGTGACATAGTGACATCCCTGTCTCTCAGTCTCCTAGCTGGAAACCTACCCATTTGCCATGTGCTGGTTCCCTTCCTGCCCGGCCTGTTGCCAGGTGTGCCATCTGTCCTGTGGAGCACTGTGTCAGGGCCACTTCTTCCCAGTGTCTGCTTGTACAAGCCCAGTTCAGGGCCCCCTTACCCTTGCCTCTCTCTTCTGTGTCTCCCGAGATGCAGCTGCTGTGAGTCCCTCTCTACCTACTTTGACTCTCAGTCCTGTACCACGTTGATTTCTCCAGAGATACCGCTCTGATCAGTTATTCTTCTCTTCTACTCATTCATGCTTCAGCAACTCCCTGGTGTCTTTAAAAAAACCCAGCCGGTTTTCTAGACCTTCCAACTTGTTTTAATTTCCTTGCCACTGCCTCCCTCCATATAGGTGGGATTTTAGCCAGATGGAGTTAATGTTCCAGGAACCTGCCTGTTTTTTCTTTTTGTGTCTGTATTTTGACTTGCTTTTTCCAGGAGTACTCCTTTCTCAGATTCTTAGTTCTTCCTTAAAATCTTTTCCAAAGTTCTCTCAGATATCCTGATCTGAAGATACTCTTGCCCCTCCTCATATGTACAATAAGGTGCTGATCACTTCCCAACATGTATTATTATTTCAGTATGAATTTTTAAACCTAATGACCTTGTATCCTCCATTGTGCCCAGTACAGTGCCTTGCAGAAGTATTTGTTGAATTAATGAGAGGATTATTGCATTTCTGGGCTAAGCTTCCATCAGTCTGGATTCCTCTCTGTACCGTTACCACTCCCTGGCTGCTTCTCTAAGCCCATCTCTATTGCGCCATCCTTGCGGCAGTTGTTTATCTCTGAACCACTTCATACATCACTAAATGGCCTGTTATCTTTGTTGCTTCTTTTCTCCTGAGTTAGCATGAATTTTAATTGAAAGAAAAATGAAGGATGTGTGTGGGGAGTTTGGAGGAAACGGAAGCTGTGGCATCATGTTCGTTGTCCAGGTGGCAGGCCAGGGGGCTGGTGCATGGTGCTTGTTGCAGCCTGCTGACCCAGGCAGCTGCTCTTGTATTCTTGAGAAGCAGCTACCTGAACTTCTGATTAGATACCTGGTTGGGGTAATGGCAGGTAAGAAAAGAGAAATAGACTTCTGACTACGATAGTGCCAGTTTTTGAAAGCTTGTGAGCCATCTGGGGTTGTCTGCATAGTTCTGGGCGTCAGGTTGTGGCAATGAGTTAGGTTCTATTGATGAATTCTCAGGAGTTCCCTTACTTTATTTCATCGAGGTATACCACCTGTCCAAGGTTAAACTTAGAAAATGCCACAGCTTGAGCTCTAGTTTAGTACCTGTTAGTGCTTTTAGATGGTAGATCTTTATACCGTTCTGCCTAAGAAAGACCCAGGCTCATTTGAGTCACCATCAGTTCATATTAGGTTGCAATGGAACAAAATGGAAAAAGGTGTAAAGAGACATCTTCTAGAACATAGTACTTTTACCATATTCTCACAGAAGCTGCAACCACTCACGATTTAGCATTGAGCACCCTGGGTCTGTGGACCAGCCAAAGGTCCAGAGGAGCGGCACCTGAGGACAGCCAGCCCAGTCCTGCACAATTCAGCCATAAGCTCTGATAGACTCAAGTGGCACTGAGCATGGCACCCATAAAATCCCTCATGCATATCTCCCTTCAGAATCAATGGATCACAACCAACCTGGAGATACAAGAATCAACCAAATTTGGGTGGTCTTATTTTCACAAACCTCGCAAGCTGAAGGGAACTGCGTCGTTCCTTATTTTCTACTCCAGTGCCCCATTTTTGGAGATTTTTGGTTGAAGTGCCCCAAAGGAGCAATGTAGTGTACCTGTGAGGGCAAAGGCCTCACTCAGCACAGATGGTGTGCTTGATGATCTGCCCAGGAGAAGGTGACACCAGAACCTAGCAGGGTACCATGGCAAGGGGCCTTTGTCATCAGAGTGCATCTAAGTACTGAGTTTCTGACAGGATAGGAGGAGGCCATAGGTTAACTACTGCTGCTCACCAGTCTCTCTTTGGTTTCAGCTAGAGACAGCTGAGCTGTCCAAGGCAGAGAGAACTCCGAGCTGAGCAGTGGAGGCTCCCCTGGATCTGGAGAGAAGAGGTGACCTTGGAACCAGTAATGAGCCATTCTGAGTACAAGCTGAACTTCCGGCCCCTGGGAACCCCCAAAGGTGGTAAGAGGAAAATGGCATCTGAAGGACTGAAACACAGGAAGAGTGGGAGTGGAGGTGGAGGGTGACTCTTGGGACTAACCGGGACTGCACTTCTTTTGGTGAAATGTTAAAAGTTTCTCCTGTGTTATTTTTCTAGGATTAGGTGTGGTTTCTCACTGTTTTAATTTACTGTTATATTGAGTGCAGCTGTTTAATTTCCTTTAGAAAAGTGACAATCTTTTAATAATTTTATTTTTAAAAATTTTATATGTATAATCAGCAAAGCATACTGATCCCATTATTCAGATTTTGTTCCATGTATGTTGTGCTTATTTAGAAATCACATTTCACCTGTGTATGTTTCATTCATGTTTTCTTTTCTTTTCTTTTCTTTTTTTTTGGTACCGGGGATCGAACTTAGGACCTCGTGCTTATGAGGCAGGCGCGGTGCCACTGAGCTAAATCCCCGGCCCTATTCATGTTTTCCAACTCATTCTTTTCTTTTTGTGACTGAAATCATCATCAGAGTTTCATTCTCTTCGTAGTTTTTATATATAATATTAAGAATAATGATAACAGCAGAAAGGCACAATACCTCCAGTTTTTAAAATGCAGAGATGTTTGAAGAAAGAGCTGACGGCTGCCTCGTTTTCTAGGTGTGTCCTCTGCGGTCGGCCCACATGGTGCTGGTGCTTCGCCAGGTGACAAAAAGTCAAAGAACAAGTCCATGCGAGGGAAGAAAAAGAGCATATTTGAAACCTACCTGTCCAAGGAGGATGTTTCACAAGGCTTGAAGAGAGGAACGTTAATCCAGGTGCTTAACGCCCACTGGCAAGCTCTCCCTGCAGCAACCTGCTGTTCCTTTAGCTTGTTTCCTGTTTGGTGCTTCTGTGCTTAGGGGGAGTGGTTTTTCTTTTTGGTACTGGGGATCGAACTCAGGACAGTACGCGCAAGGCAGGCGCGGTGCTACTGAGCTATGTCCCCGGCCCTATGCTTATGTGTTTAGGGATGGTGATGTAACAAGTGCAGTGCTTGCTGCTTCTGAGGCCTCCAGTATGTCTAGAAGTGATAGGCACCAGAGACAACAGTGGGTGAAGTGCTCTGGGTTTAGAGAGCCCTTATTTCCAGTTAGCATCATGTAGGGCTCCTTTATGGGTAGGGGATACTGAGCTGTTCCCCGGGGTGGTGCAGTTTGAATAAGGGAAGATGAGAGCGAGCTTTCCCAGTGGACAGTAGTGGGAGTAGGGCTTGGATATTTGGAACACCGAGTAGTTGAGCTTGCCTGAAGCACATGGATCTGCATGGCTGAGAAAACTGGCTGAGGTTGCACAGGAAACCGTGAGCAGCCATAGGCAGAATTTGTTGGGCGCCTGATAGTTTCCCAATGTCGATGTGTTCACGAGCTAGTTCAGTGGCTTGGCTGAGCCAGTGTTTCCTGAGCGTGTCCTGTGAGCCAGGAAGAGGTCCAGATAGGAGCATGCCACATGGTGCTCTCCAGAGGACTGGGGCTGAGATGTCATTCTGCACTGAGAGCTTCCAGCTCAGTGGGGTACACAATCATGCGAATGGATGGTTTGGGACACAATGCTGTGATAGAAGGGTGACCAGGGTATATGGGACAGTGTTGTGGGGAAATCATGGACCGAAGTTCTGGAGAGGAGTCTTCTCAGGTGCCATGTGGGCTGGATCCTGCAGGTGACCAGTATGGGCCTATTAGACAGGTGACACAGTGGGGGAGGCAGCTGTGGCCAGCCAGTGGCGTGAACAGACGGGTGAGCTGTAGAATGACACGGATCAAGACAGCCTTGGTCTCCTTGGGCATGAAAGTGGAAGCAGGTACAGAGGGTGGAGAGGGCGGCAGGACTGTGTATCCTTTGAGCTAATTCTATTTCATGACCCTTGGATTAGTATAGACATACAGCCACATGCTGCTGTACCTGGCTCACCTGAAAATGTTGACTGTATCTCATTTTCTCTCATTTCTAAAGCCCAGTTTCTTTATTTGTGTTGACGACTGAGGATCCATCTGAAAATGGATACTATCATCTTCTCTCCTGTTTATCGCCTCTCCGTATTTGTGTGGGTCAAGTGTATTCTTGATTGACATCAATCCTTGGGTAGAAAACTGATTTTTAACAAATGAGTTGATTTTTCTGATTCTAGGAGTACCATTGCCTTCATTTTTGCTTTTTAAAACAGCTTTCCCTGGATTTCTTTGACAAGGCCCCTCATAGGGGAGCGGAAGCTGCTCCCTTCGTTCGTCTGTGCATTCACTTTTCACTGCTCAGCTGTGTCCTGAGCTCCACCTGCCTGCAGTGCCCTGGCCCTCCTTGTTTCCGGCAGGAGGACCCATTGTGGCTCCCCCATCCACGTCTCCCATTGCCCTCTGGGAATGCTCTGCCCCATGCACCTGAGCTTGCACACTTTTCCTCCAGAACTGTGAGCTGGACTCCTCTGTGGCTGTATTGTGCTCCTGGTGCTGAGAACTCCTCCGCGCACTATCTGGATGGAATTGCGCCGCCTTTTCAGCATCCGCCTGCCGTCCCCCAACTTCTCCCCTTTCATGGAGTGGCCTTTTTATTTGCACTTTAAACCCGTTACCATTTCTTGCTTTTCTCTTTCCCCAAGTAGACTCTTCATTTCCTGATGGCAGGGTCGTGTCTTAGTCCACAAGTTAGCCCAGTGCCCAGTGCCTGGCATTTGACTGGTGCTCAGTAAATTTATGTTGAATAAATAGTTAGGAGTGGGTCGAGTAAAGATCAAGGTACTGTATTTTGAAGAGCAGTAGGGGGAACTTTAGTTATAACTTGAATGAAAAATAGATTAGTTTTTGTTCACAGAATTATATGGTGACAGGGTGAGAACAATATTGCAAAATGGTAATAATTTTTGCTCTCTGTTAATTTTTGTTTTTGGTACCAGGGATTGAACTCGGGACCTGTCGTTTGTGAGGCAGGTTGGTGGCACCACTGAGCCAAATCCCCGGCTAATTTTTGCTTTTGAAGTGATTTTTTTTCCCCTGACACTAAAAACAAAATAAAAATCTGATCAATAGAACAACTCTCATTCCCAGGAGTTTGTGATTCTTCTCAGCCTGTGACATCGTGAGTCTCTGTAGCCAGAGCCTCCCCCCACATACAAACAGTTGTTCTTTGCAGATGGGGAGAGGAATAGGTTCCAGATATGAGGTCACCGTGTGAACTGTACAACACTGTAAATAAGATTTTCATAGGCAGAGAAACACAGTCCATCTGCTTTCTGTGTGTAGGCCTCGCTGGGGAAGGTAAAAAGCTAGACAAGAAAGGATATGCTAGTGCTGTCAGAGACAATTAAGCGTATCAGATATACATAAAAATGTTAACTTTTGTATTTTGACTTGTGTATATCATGGCCTTTTTTACTCCCCAACCAGAGAAAAAAGCTTTTATTGGGAGAGACTAGGGTGGTTTTTGTTTTTTTTTTTTTTTTGAGACAGGGACTTGCTTTGTAGTTCAGGCTAGCCTCAGACTTGTGGCAATCTTTCTGGTTCTGCCTCCCGAGTGCTGGGATTACAGGCGTGTGCCAGCATGCCCGGCCCAAGACTAGGGAGTTTTAAAAATAGGAGTAGAATAATATTTTTATACCTTGACCAATAATTTGACATTTCATTGTTTTGCCCTGTGTGGAGAAGAGATCACAGTGACCAAGAAATCTCATTTCTCTGTTTGAAATTGAGCAGTAAGAGCACATAATCATGTACATGCAGGGTTTTTTGTTTTGTTTTGTTGTTTGGTTTCTGAGACAGGGTCTCACTATGTAGTCCAGGCTGACCTTGAACTTGTGGCTATCCTCCTGCCTCAGCCTCCTGAGTGCTGGAATTACAGGCGTGTACCACCACAACTGGCCATGGAGTTTTGAAGTGTTTTAATGCACAGGTTCTCTCATGAAAGAGCACATGTCCTTCCTCTCTCTGCAGTGTTGAGGTTGTGAGAGGAGATTTTGGGAGAGGTGAGTGCATGATAGGCATTCTGTTGGGGTCATGACCAAGGTGACTAGATGCGCGGATGGTAGAATTGGCTGTTTCAGATCCCAGATGATGCTTTGGCTAAAGGAAGTTCAAGCTGAGCCCCAGAGCTGCCTGAGGCGCGATGTCAGACTTTCTCCTGGAATGTTGGTGTGATGGTGTCACTGGACCTCTGAAAAAATCCTAGTGTAGAAAAACAGGATAGGATGGGCTGGTTTCTAGGACCTTTTCCCTTTGTTAAGAGTGGAATCAGCTGGAGAATACAGGGTGTGGATTCAAGATGAGAAGAGCAGCAGGGGCATTACAGTGGAATGCCCATTTATTCTGAAGGGAGAAGTAGTATTCATAACATTAATACCAGGGGCAGTGGGAAAACGTCAACTGCAGACATTAATTAATTAGTTAATTAGCTTGAGAGATGTTTCTTGACAGCCCAAATGCCAAGCATATACACCAGGGACCAGGGACCAATGCCACAGGGAATGTAGGAAAAATGAAGTAATCCAGCAGAGATTGCAGTCTGTGATCCTTACTATGAGGGAGACAGAGATGAGAGACAATCATCGGGGTGCTCCTTCCCATGGGTCAGGGAAGGCAGCTGGGAGCTGGTTATCTGAGTTGAGATCTGATCGCTGAGAATAAGTCAGACATTTAAATCCTTAGGAAAAGAATATAGGCAGAGAGATCGGGATTGGAAGAACAGTGAGCAGAAGAGGCCTTGGTGTGCTGAGGACCAAGAAGGAAGCCTGCTAGAACCATGTGAGCAGCGGGAACTGTAAGCTGGAGAGTTAGCAGCAGCCAAGGCATACAGCGTCTCTCGGCTGTGTCGGAGGGTTGCATTTTATTCGGAGTACAATGCGAAGTCACTGACGGGTGCACAGACCTGTGTCACATCCTAAAACACCTCTCTGGCTATTGTGAGATGGAGAAAGTAGAGTGGAAGCTGGGAGACTACTGAGGAAGCCATGAGAGTAAAGTATAAAGACGCAGGCAAGGACGGGGCCAGCGAAGGTGGAGAGAAGTGGGTGGACGTGGAGGGCGAGCTGACACGACATGCTGAGAGGTGAGTGTGGAGGGCAGGAGTCCAGGGCAACTCCCAAGTGTTTAAGTGGAGCAATTGCATGATGTTGCCATAACCAAGAGGGGGGAGACTGAGGATCGGAGCATGGGCTGACTGTTGGGGAGCCCAGGAGAATAGGTAGCATACATGAATGAAGGGCCCTGGTGGCAGCTACAGCCACGAAGAGGCAGTCTGGGGTGGCTGAGGGCTGTGGACACTGAAGGCTTGAATGTGGTGTGGCAGTGCACAACTTACTCCTCCGATCAGGGCCCCAGTTTTCTTATCTGGATAGTAGTATAGTATAATGTAGTTGTTGTGAGGGTTAAGTTAGTTCACGGATATAAAGCTCTTCAAATGCTGCGTGGCCCCTGTGCACCTACGTAAGTGGTGCTTGAGATCATTTTTATTGCTGTCGGCGGGGCATCTGTTCTCCTGCTCAGGTGGTTGCTACCATGTGCACATAGCTGTCCACAGCTGCTAGAGCTTACGATTTTTTCAAAAAAATACATATTTTTTGTGTGTGAAATTCCTCAGTTTAAGCATTCTCAAACATCCTATCAGCCAAATAAAACATGTTTGTGATTGCCAATTTAGACTAATTAGCCAAGTTATGTGGTATTTTTCTACAGTACCATTCAGCTCCTCAAATCTAGGTAGGGGAAGGCAGATAGCGGGGCTGGTTGAAAGGGAGGCCTTGCAGGTTGAGCAGAAAGAGGAGGAAGCCCCAGGGCCCAAGGTCTGTGACGGGGAGGTAATGGTGGGCCATGGCTGCTGTGGAGCCAAGGAAGGAAGTAACCTTAGGGAGAGGGCAGCGAGTAGTAAAATGTGGTCTGGGCTGCGGCTTGGCGGTCTTGGGCAAACTGAAGAAGTGTTGGAGTGGCGTTTCCACAGCGAGCTGGTAGGACAGAAGATTGTCATCAGAAAGGCTGATGTTTGGCCTTTTGTGTTTGGAGGTAGTGTGATGAGTGGCGATGACAAGAGACAAGCAGTAGGTGGGTGGTTCCCGTGACAGATTGGGGTTGCCAGGTCGTTGATGCAGGTGGGGATTCCAAAAGTCCACAGGAGTGGGGGCGGGGGGCAGTGAGCTCTGAGCCAAAACATTAGTGAGTCCGGGCTGTGACCAGAAGGTTTGAAGATGACAGCATCAAGGAATATAGCGGGACCTAGAGACATAAACCTCAAAGGAGTTGGAGTTTTTGAAAGATAATGGAGCAAGGAAAGAAAGAAGAAAAGAAAGCTAGGCAGCGGGCCTGATGGGGAAGCAAGAAGAAGACAGTCCTCCCCCAGCCCCGGGGATCAGTTCTGTGGGTGTGAGAGGGAATCACAGTCCCTTGAGAGCACTCCAGGGACGCGATACGTTGGGGACAGGCAAGGAGGTGCAGGAGAATTCAGAGGGGAGAGGGGAGATCCTGGAGCCTCACCGGTCAGGTTCCTGGCCCAGGAGAGGGTTCAGAAGGAGAGATGGGGGCCCAGCGAGGCTATGGATGGTTAGAAAGGTACAGAGATAGCGCTGCTGGAGTCTGCTCCCGCTGCTCAATCCTCTCTAGACAGGCTCTCCTGCCACCTCCTCAGGCAGGTGGGGTGGCTCCCGTCTGCTGCAGGACCCTGCTGTGGAGCTTCCTTCTTAGTAGGATTGTGTTCTCCAGGACCCTCTTCCTGAGGCCCAGTTCTTAAGAGTTGTGCTCCTGTCAGATTTACAAATGCTATTCTGGGACAAGGCTTCTGTACTTTCGTGAAGCTTGGGATAGAGAATCAAGAATAAAATCTTTAACATCCTTTGAATGTCTTTTCTTTTAGAACCTGGAAGAGGATTGGGCTGCTTGGGCCCAGGATTGGCTTCTGAATACCCTATAATTAAATGCAATTCAAAGCAGGAGCATTTTTTTTTTTTTTTTGTACTGGGGATCGAACTTGAGACCTTGCGCTTGCGAGGCAGGCAGCGGACCAACTGAGCTAAATCCCTGGCTGCAGGAGCATTTTTATCTCAATACTTTTTATGTGCTAACCATTCACTGAATTGGAAGGCATGATGGGAGAATAGGAACTAAAAAAGGAAAAAAAAAGAGACTAGAAAGAACTGCCTGGAAACGGAGAGTGAAATTGTGACAAATGTTATTTCAGTGACTACTTGCGTGTGTTTGGGGTCTCCTCCCCTCCCTAGCCTGAGCCCTGTGACGTTAGAGACTGTCTGTTCCTCTCCGCTGTGTCCCCACCACTGAGAACGGCACCTGTCATCCTAGTCATCAGCAAATTCTTGATGAGTGGATGAATATTTATGATAAATGTAAGGCTTTCCTCTTTCCCAAGAAGCTGCAGCTGTTGTAGAAGTGAACCCACTTCAGCCTCCACATGGAGGCCTCAGGGCTGCGCTGGCCATCTCTGCTGCCTGCCTTGCCAGCCTTGTGCAGAGTGGTGGCCTCGCCCACTTCTGCTCTTCTTCCCTTTGGATTTACCTGCAGGTTTTGCTGTTCCCCAAGGACCAGGTCAGGCGCCCTCTCTGAAGCCTGTCCCAGTAGCTGTACCCTCCCCTGACAGCGTTCTGCACAAGGACCAAGTGGTTACCGTTCTATTTCTGACCTTGTCTGTCTGGGGTCTTTGGCCATAGCCAGTACTTGACAGTAAATAAGTTCTGGATGATCACTTGCAGCACTGTATTTGCAATGGGCGTTTGTAATTTACACATGGCACACTGGTGAAAGAATGAAATTATCTTCTGCTTAATTTTTTTCCCTGGTACTGGGGATTGAACTCAGGACCTTGCGCTTGCCAGGGAGGCGTGGTGCCACTGAGCTAAATCCCTGGCCCTCTTCTGCTTAATTTTGTGTCTTCACCTATTTTGTTAATTCTGTGTCTTTGAGTCATTTGCTTTAGGAGGAGAGGTTATTTAAAACACGTTCTCAAGTTATCCTTTGAGTCTGGCTGTTAGGAAAATGTCTGCTCCCGTCCATGTGTTCAGTGGCCTGCAAGAGCAGCTGGAGCCTGGGAGGGTTACAGCTTCCTGCAAAGGCTTGAAACCCTGCACTGCTCTTGAAGACTACTCCCACGTGCACCCGGTGCGTAAATAGAAGCAGACCCTGATTTGGGGCTGGAATAACATGAAGTCAAAGGCAGACTGGGTGGCCTGGCTGTTGGAGCCAGTGTTCTCTTTTGTATTAAGAGCTGGTTATGGACCATTTTGAATTATTGACTCATTCAGCTCTGCAGAGGGGCCAGAGTACAATGTATCCATCCAATTCCTTAAGTTGCAGGTTGGAAATCAATGTGTATCACTGAAAATTGCCACAGAAATAAGCAATTTTGCAAAGATCTTGGGACTGGGAGACTAGAAAAGATTATTATGTAGTGAGACCGAATGCCCAGGTAACCCGTTCTTAAAGCGAGGGTTTAAATGTGAAGACCAGCATATAGTTGTCACTTTCCCACTCTGTACTCGCCCTGTTGCTTCTCACCCTGGTGTGTTCACACCAAGGTGCCTGTCCCAGTGTTGAGTTTCAGTGGAACCTGGTGTTACACGCACAATAAAGCATTTAATGAATATTTCTCATATGTCTAACTTATTTTCTACATCAAATTGTCTAAATAACTTTTTATTGGAGAGTAACATGCATATGGAAAAATCGTAAATATACAGCTAGTTAGATTCTCAGAGATTTTATTTTTTGTTTTAAAGGGTGTACTAAGAATTAATCCAAAGAAGTTTCATGAAGCCTTCATCCCTTCCCCGGTAAGTTCAATAACTTTATAATAAACTTAATGTCACATTGGATCTTTTAGATGTGCTCTGAAACTGAAATCATATATCCTGATTGAAAAATAGAGTAGTAAAACAAAATTGAGGATGGGCAAAGATTTGTTTCAGATTTAAATAAACAAAATTTGCCTTTGGTTCACCACCCTTTCTGCCAGTATTAAAATCTCACAGCAGATGAGAGTGCCGGCTGGACCCAGGCAGACTACCCGCCAGCTTGTGTAATTGGACACCCTTGGTTTATAGCTTAAAAGGATTTATGGTTTTTTCCACTGATTTAAGTTAATCTTTCCTAGACCAGTATGCTATCTACTTTCGATCTACTGCATGATCTAATTTGAACATTTGTCCAAAAATAATGCGTGATACTTTTTTTTGGTTGAAGTTTCTCACTTCACTTTCATGCGGGTGATGGGCTGGTAGGTGGCTATGGCCTCTTTCTTACACTTATGACCCATTTTAAGAGGCCTTCTCCAGTTAGAGCAAGTTCACACTGACATGTAGTTAGCAGCAGGTCTTTGGGTAGGCTTGACTGTGGGAAGCTGGAAGAGCAATGTTTTTCAGTTTCTGGCTTAACTTGTCCAAGATGCTGTAAGGACAACTATAGAATTACAGAGTTTTCATAGAGGTAGAGACTGTAGGGGTGAACTTCTGCTTACACATGAGTAAATGGAATATCTCATTCATTAGTGTGTTTCATATGTGAAATGACAAGTTTGATGCGAGTGTTAAGTCCAATCTTCTATTTCATAGGTGATACTATTGTTGTTGTTATTATAACAACTTTAAGACCCATTCTTGTTCTCTTCTTAGTGCCTTTTCCCCTTGCCTTCCAGAAGCCAAGGAGTCTCCTTTGCATCCAAGTTCAGGTCTTACTCATTGGATTATATGGAAAGCACCACCAATCCCCCCGCCCCCCGCAAAAAAAAAACAACCCAAAAAAACAAGAAAAAAGAAAGCACCACCAACATGACACGTTATTCTCTCTGAGTCACACTGTGTTCCCATGACAGAACATAGTATATGTCCTCACGCCATAACTTGAGTTGTGGAATTGAGGGTCAGCTCTGAGGTGGTGACTTAGCTGCAGGAGCAATTCTGTCATACAGGGAAGTGCAGTTTATGAGGGTATTAGACTTCAGTTTGCTCAAGAAAGAGGTGAAGATCATGCAGTGGAATTATAAAACTACCCATGAGCGTGTCTTAGGAAGGCATGTGTTGGAGATAGAGAAGCCATCTCTCAGAAGTCCCGCGCCACCACTGTTTTCTCCATGTTAGAAAGGCTTTCACCAGTTGGAGGGGCTTGATATATTAGGAGACTTTGTGTGTGAAAAACATGGATTTTGAGTTACACTCAGTACAGTAAGGAGTCTGTCCCAAGAGTCAGCTGTGAAGTGAGCAGATTTCAAACCTCACCTTTTTTGTACATTGAAGTTTATGCTCACTGATTTGTGTGACAGGGGGGCCAACAGCATTTAAAACTGTACTGCTAGCCTTCTCTCTTCCCTAGGTGCACAGTCTTGACGTTTCTGAAGTTAAGTCCCAATTAGGTCAGCACCTAGGACAGGAGTATAGAAGGAGGCACACATACCTTACATCAAATATTGAAAAGTTACAAATTGCACTAACAAACTGCAAAGTAAAAAATACTTATAACAAAGTGTATCCCTTGCCAAGTATGCCTCTGTGGACCTGTGTTGTTGACATGTAGAATTTTCAGATTCCTTGTGTACCATGCTGAGACGTGGAGAGGATGCCTCTGGCCTGGCCTTTTCCCTCTGAAAGCCTTGCTCCCTGTCCTCTTGAGGCTCCCTTGCTATGAATGAAGGCTCTGGCATGCACATACGTGGGCATCTTGCGCATGTGTCTAAATTCTCCCCATACCCCTTAGAAACACCAGTCCTTTAGGTGCTGCCAGTAGGCTTGGGGCTGATTACTCCAGGAGAGAATGGGAGTTTGGATCTGAGAATTCCTTGCCTGATAGAGAAGGGTGTGGGGCTGGGTTAGGTTCCTGCAAGTTAAATGAATGTACTCTACTTTGCAAGTGATGTATCTCCAAGGTTTAATCTGACTTGTTAAAGGAAAGCTGGGAAGCAAAAGCAAAAGTTAGTGATACTTCAGAAGCTCACAGTTGTTCTTCTACTCTAAATTGTATTCCAGGCATGTCGTTTTTTTTGGTTTTTTTTGGTACCGGGGTTCGAACTCTGGACCTTGCGCTTGTGAGGCAGGTGGCGGAACCACTGAGCTAAATCCCTGGCCCCAGGCATATCTTATTTAGAAATTTTTAGACAGTTGTGATGTGAGGACTGGCTTATTTCTATGGGTCTTTTAGCCTTTTATCTTGTCCCTAGTGGAGTAGTGATATTATCTCTACCCTACTAAATAACTCATCTAGGTCATTAAGAATAGGCTGTAATGGCCGGGGATTTAGTTTAGTGGTGCCGCTGCCTGCCTCACAAGCGCAAGGTCTTGAGTTTGATCCCTGGTTCCAAAAAAATAGAAAAAAAAAGACTAGGCTGTAAAAGGGCCGGAGATTTAGCTCAGTGGTGCTGCTGGCTGCCTCATAAGCACAAGGTTCCAAGTTCCATCCCTGGTACTGAAAAAAAAAAAAAAGGCTATAAAAGTTTCTGTCGAGGCACAATTGCAAGTGATTATCAATACTCTGGTTTTGGACACTGGAACAATCCTGCATTCTTCTTTTGATCATTTTCAGTTTCCAGAGGCATTATAGAAAGCAATTGAAGAGAAAAATAACAGAGGGAGTAAATCATATGCAGATAGAACCCACAACCATCAGTGGCTGAGTAGATGTAGCTGATGTCCATGTCAAATATGAACTTGTGTGGACTGGAAAAATGCTCATAGGTAGTCTAGGTGGGAGGATGTCAGAACAAGGGCCTGAATGTTACCTGCACTTTGATTAAGCAGGGAGAATAAAGACAGAAATTGATATTAAAGAAGATGTGGCCTCTGCTATGACAGTAGGAAATAAAAAGATTTATTTGCAGAATGAAGAGATAGATTAAATATTGGTTAATGTTTCTCACACTTCAAAATTCCAAGGTGTGTAGAGAGGGGAAAAAAAGATTTTATTAAATTATTTAGGTTTATTCCTAAGGCAGTAGGCTAAAAATAGTGAATTGATCATGAGGTATAAAATAATAATTTGCACAATATATATCAATATCTATCTATCTATAAAATAAAATAATAATTTGGAGGGAAGTTGACTTAGGTTCAATTTTTATGGGTAGAAAACTGATTTGTATTTTCTTAAGACAAACAAAAAAAGGTAAAATACAGTGTGAGAATAAAACTGTATGACTTTGAAGACAGCCAAGATAAAATTACATTATTAAGATGCCTTTTTATCCTGTTTGAGAAAGGGATAAAAAGAAGAAATGGACCAGATGGAAAAGCCTGTTTATTTTATTTTATTTTTGCCAGTACATGAGTTTATTAGGGTTACTTACAGAGCAGGGGGATTTTATTTTGTTTTATTTTTATTTTATTTTTTTCAGCGCAGTCTCTATTCCAATTTTTTGGTCTAAGAAGCTTTGTAATTTTCCTGTGCATCTTGTCGTGTCTTTATTTCTCGTGCGAACGGAGCTATTGCCTCGCTGGAGGATGCTCGGCCGTCGTGGAATACTTAGCTTGTCCTCACGCACCCTCCTTCTCACTATTTAGATCACCCCCAGATCCCTTTGTATTTCCCCTGTGGATGTTCCCTCCCCTTCCCTTCCCCCTTCCTCCTCTTCCTCCTCCCTTCCACTCCTACTTTAGAGGGATGATTTAAACTTAAATATTGAGCAGTCCCCAAGTTTAGTATCTTGAAAATAAGAGATTTGGCAAAATGGATAGGCTTCTGAATGAATCCAGAAGAGCTGTGGTGATGGAATACCTAGAGGTCTGAGTGGTGGCTGAGGTTCAGCTCAGCCCGGGTTTCCTTGATTTCTTTTGTTTTGGTACCGGGGATTGAACTCGGGACCTTGCGCTTTCGAGGCAGGCGGCAGAACCACTGAGCCAAATCCCTGGCCCCCTTTCCTTGGTTTCTTAGGAGAGGAAGGTGACGAGGCCGTCATCCTAACACTTGAACCTCTGAGAACCAAGCCATGCAGTAGCTGCTTGTGAAGAGGATTTCGTTGTCCACGCTTGACACACGAGGTTGGGTTAGATTGACCTCACACAGTTCTCTCCAGTCCAGAGCAGGCCACAGGGCAGAAGGTGGCTGTTGGTGGTGGCGGCCCACACTCAGCTGGTCACTGTTTGCTCCTCTCCTACTTCTCTGGGAAGCTCATCTGGAGGTCCGCTGCAGTGATTCTGTGTCAAACATGGTAGCTGTTCCTCAGGTCCAAGGGGAGTTGCCAGCTACAGCTGCCAACCTGTAGCTAGATATGAGACTGAACAAAAAGTTGTTCTAAAAGATCACTAACTATTTATAACTGTAAACTATGAAAAATGCTGAAAGTCTGCACCCACCTGCAGTTGGTAACTTTGGAGTGCCAGTTTTTGTGTTTTTTTTTGGTACCGGGAATTGAACTTGGGTCCTTGCGCTTGCGAGGCAGGTGACAGAACCACTGATCTAAATCCCCGGCCCTGGAGTGCCAGTTTTAACTCTAGAATTTCCTAGTAATCACTTTCAGTCCTTTGAGTGTTAAATCTCCCTATTGAGGGTCTCTGTTGGAAAACTTTCTGGACCCTTTTGCTGTCACTTCCCATAAAAAGACTAACATTGGACTTCTGCCTTCTGAAAAGATGCCTGTAGTCTGACCTTCTGGAAGAAAATAGTGATAAGAGTTTATGTGTGATGATGAAGCTTTTTGAAACTGTTTCATTTTCTCCTGGGACCCAAGCCCTAAAGGTGGCTTCTCTTTTGGCTTTGGCAGAGCACTTCAGCTTATCAGGAGACCTCGCCTGTTGGGGGAGAGGTGCTGCTTCTGTGGTTGGCCCCCTGCTCAGAGCAGGTTGTTTCTAAATGTGAGAAAGAGGCAGAAGGGGCTGCACTTGGCGCTCACCTTGCTCCTCCGTCAGAGAGGTGGGATGTGAGAACATTAACTGAATCTTGTATTATTTCTCCATCCTTCTCTCTTTGCCTTCTCCTCCTCTCCATAGAAATAACCACAATTTGTTTCCTTTACCACTTTCCTGATGGGCAGAATGCCTTTGCTAGTTTCCTCTGAGAGAACCCAAATCCTGCCTTCTGTTACTTTACCTGGGGGATTACTGGGACATATATTGCTTGTTTTTTGTTGTCTTGCCTATCTTCTATTTTTACCCTTCCTTGATACTTTCCAAAAAATTCCATGCAGTATAAAAATGGTATCAGCATGCTTTCTTTTACTTAAAAGCAAAAAGGATAACCTAAGAATATCTAAGTCCTTTCCCATTTCAGTTATGACAGTATTTTGCTTTAGCCCTGACTCTAGCAGATCCGTTGTGTATTTGGTGAGTTCCCACGTTCTACTAGTCTGCTCGTGGGTGCTCATTACCATTTCTTTTTGTTCCCAAGAGATTCAGTTCCTTTGGATATGTATGTGGCTGTGTACTAATATTCTTGGTAAGGCAGTAGACAGATTGCAGAGTGCGAAAATTTTCAACCAACTAAGTTTTGGTTCCAGGCCTTGGAAAGCTGACTATGCCTTTATTTCTCTCTCCAACGTAGGATGGTGATCGAGACATTTTTATTGACGGGGTTGTTGCTCGTAATAGAGCCTTAAATGGGGATCTGGTGGTGGTAAAACTACTTCCTGAGGAGCAGTGGAAGGTGAGTTAAATTTTCCTTTTCTAATTATATTCTTCTTAGGGCCTTTTGTATTCTATGGTGTACTAACTAGGCAGCATAAATGGGGGAGTCTCCGGCCCCTGTGGCACCATGGTGAAAATTGGGGGTTGCTTCCAAAGAGGCTGCTGAGAGGCAGTCTGCTGGGCAGACATCTGATCGACAATTTGAGTGGTTCTCGCTTCCTGTCCCGTCTGTCTACCCTGTCACATGCCTTGCATTGGTTTCTGGGTTTCTTTTGAGTAGAGCCCAGTCAGACTTGATGCATGTTATTTCCCTAAGCCCTGTACTTCAAACTGTGGAGAAATGAAGCCATGGGGATGGTGGCTTTCTCCACACACTTCTGCTGTCTATACTAGAAAACCACAGCAGTACACCTCAAGTGCCATTGGGCCTAGTTTGGTGACTGGGCTTCCCTTGGCAGATAAAAATAGTCTGAATTTTTATAAAATGAGATTTAGTGGCACAAGAAAATGTTTTTAAATATGAGGATATTCTGGGTTTCAGTTTCAATCTGTGTCAATTGAAAAGGAAGATATGGTTTTAGTTTTTTTTTTGAGTACCGAGGATTGAACTTGGGACCTTGCACTTGTGATGCAGGTGCTGGAACCACTGAGCTAAGTCCCCAGCCCTGGTTTTAGTTTTTGTGTTTTTTTTGGTACCAGGGATCGAAGTCGGGTCCTTGTGCTTGCGAGTCAGGCAGTAGAACCACTGAGCTAAATCCCCAGTCCCTGGTGTTAGTTTTTTAAATTAAAAAAAATTTTGTCTTATGGTTTTAGTTTTGACTATTGTTTTAAGTAACAATAAAGGTCTGACGCTGGAATATTTAGTGTCTTTGAATGGGACGTGGAACTGGTGGCTTGCACATCTGAGTGTGAATTTGTCTTTACTTTATTTGTTCTGTTTGGCTCAGTTCTTTGGTCCACAGGAGTTTGGTGTCTTCAGTGAGGGACGGTACAGAGCAGTGACTCGTAGTGTCAGCTGTGGGGCAAGGCCTTGTGGGTTTGGATCTCATCTCTGGCATTCATCTGTGTGACCTTTGGTGATTGTACAACCTCTCTGCCTCAGAGGCCTCATTTGTAAAGTGGGGGTAATTTTAGTACCTACTTTATAAGTTTGTCAAGAGCAGTCAATGAAATTACTTGTAAAAATCATACAGTAGGGCCAGGGATTTAGCTCAGTGGTTCAGCTGCCTACCTCAAAAGCGCAAGGTCCCAAGTTCCATCCCCAGTACCACAAAAAACAAACAAACAAACAAAAAAAACCCAAAAACATGGAGTAGGGCCTAAAATCTTAAAATGGTGGCCCTCAAGAAATGTTCATTCTGTCGAGGATTTAGCTCAGTGGTTTCACCGCCTGCTGCTCAAGCTCAAGGACCCGAGTTCGATCCCTGGTACCAAAAAAAGAAAAAAAAAAAGAAATGTTCAGTCTTATCATTAGCTTTTCCAGAAAAGATGGAATGTGAGGAATACCGTTTTGTCTCAGAACTTTGTTCAGGAGTGCATTAAATTCTTTTTTATCTTCTAGGGCTAAAGTAATTGATTACACTGTGTGCCTGGTACTCATAGAAAGCAGGGATTTTAGTAACAATTGGATAGACTCAATTGTTGTCTCTTGGAGCTGACAGTCTAGTGGAGAGTACAGTGAGGGTGAAACATAATAATCACACTGAGACAAATTTAGTTACAATTCTAATCAGTGCTGTGAAGTACAGGGTTTGATATGAGAGTGAATTTTCCCAATGGAGCCCCACATCCTCTCTCCCACCCCTACCAGCTGTGGGTGTCACCCCCTCCCTGGGTTCCTGGAAGGCACAGCTAAGGTTTGGCTCCAGGTTCTGTGAGCATAGGTTGACTTAGACCACTTCCTGTTTATGAAAAGCATCTCTTAGCATCACAGTGTTGTCCAGAGGAGCAGATTCGAGCCAGGTGGAATCAAAGGAAGCATTCCTAGAGGTCATTCAGGGGTGAAGAGGTAGCATTTTAATGGACAAGACCTGAAGAAAAGGCAAGAAAGATAGGGGCTTCCCCTTTGATTTAAGGACTGAGAATGTTAGAACGGAGAAGAGAGAAGAGTGGTTAGTAAGTTGGGTGAGTGTCTTAGTCTGCTTTCTGTTGCTATAACTGAATACCACAGACAGGGTCATTTATGAAGAAAAGAAGTTTATTCCCTACAGTTCTGGAGGCTGAGCCGTCCAGTGTTGAGGGGCTGCATCTAGTGAGGTTTCTTGCTGGTAGGGATGCAGCAGAGTCCCAAGGTGGCTCAGGGATCACATGGTGAGATAGAGCAAACTTTCTTATTCCAGTCTTTTTTTTTTTTTTTTTTTTGGAGTCTGGGGATTGAACCCAGGACCTTTGCACTGAGCTACATCCCCAGCCCTTTGTTAATTTTATTTTGAGACAGGGTCTTGATAAGTTGCTGAGTTGCCCAGGCTGTGCTCAAATTTGTGATCCTCCTGCCTCAGCCTCCAGAGTCCTGGGATTACAGGTATATGCCACCACCCCAGGTCTCTCTTCTTTTTATAAAGCCACTAATGCAATCATGGGGGCTTCATCTTCATTACTTTATCTAATCCTGATTGACTCCCAAGAGCCCCACTTGCAAATACCATTAACAGATGACCTTTGGGATTAAGTTCCAGCATGAGTTTTGGAGGGGACAGGGGCCCAGGTCATGGCAGTGGCTCTAGAGCAGCCCACAGCAGGTTCACAATGACTTGGTGGCTGGTAAGAAGTAGGAAGGGACAGCATTTGGCAGAGCACTGGCGGAAGTGGATGCATAAAGGAAGAGGGTGCTTGGCAGAGCAAGGCCGAGTTGCCTGGTATCCTTCCTGCCCTTGGCTTCAGGCAGGAGATAGTTAAAGTAAACGGACAGAAATAAGTAAATGTGTTGCACTACTTGCCCTTGGGCCCTACCCACTTTGTTGATAAGGCAAGGAAGGGTAGCCTTTCCTGGTATTGTCAGGATTGCTTTAGCTTTGGGCAGGAAGCCTAAGAAGATGAGGTGGGTAACTGATCAAGTCTTGGGGCTAGGTTGCGGGTGAAGGTGTTTGTTGTCGTTGAGGTCTAGGACAGCTTTGGGATTTGCCCTTCTAGCTTCTGCTGTGGGACTTCGCTTCCTGGACAAAAGGCAGTACCTTATTTGGAACTCAATGCAACAAAGTTGTGTTTCTTCCTGAGATGCCTAATTTTAATGGATTCCTAGGTCCCTGAAACTAGGTAAGTGCTGTGAGGAAATAGGTAGCATTTTCACCACCAGTACCTTCAGGCTTCACAGACACAGCTTGTTGCTTTTCTGTTTTATACTTAATATCTACAGGTAGAGGAAGCTAAAGCAGATGAGAATTTTGAGCCAGGGAGGGAAATGATTTTATTGAGCCAAATATAACCCCGGCTGCTGTTTGGAGAATGGTCTCAGCGGAGACAGTTGCACACTGGGACAGCCAGTTAGGAAGATGGAGAGAAATAGGGATGTATTTTGAAAAGAGAAGCAATAGGAATTGAAGATGAATTTCATTAGTTGGGTGAGTAAAAATGTGGAATTGGGGCCAGCAGTTAAAAGATTTGGGTTTATGCAAAATGGTAAGATGTCATTAATTGAAACGGAGAATAGTGAGGAATAGGATGCTTTATTGTAAGTTACTAGTTTTGCCTCCTTGTAATTTTGTTTTCTTTTTAGATCTGTTAATGAGAAAATATGGAAGCCTATGTGACTTCTCTTACTGGTGAATTCTAAATATTTAAGGAAGACAAAATCCTGGTTTCTCACAAACACCACCTTAGGAGAATGTGCGAGATGGAAACATTTTTAACTCATTCTATGAGGCTAGCATTGCTGCAATACCAACAGTTCAAAAACAAATATTAGCAAATAGAATCCAGCAACATATAAAAAGGATAATTTAACATGAGCAGGTGTGCTTACCCAGGAATACGGTGTTGGGTTAATATTTGGAAATCAGTTCTTGTAATGCATCATCTTAATGGACTAAATTTACATTTCAGTCAAATGTTATCATTTCAGTAGATGCAGAAAATATGTTCCACAACAATTCAAGACAAAAACTCTCGTAAGCAAGCTAGGGCCAGAGATCAGACCTCAACTCGATAGAGAATATGTAGGAGATGCTTAGAGCCAGCATCACCCGTAATGGTGAAAGACCTCACCCCTCTAATATTTAGAATGAGGTAAAAATGTCCCTTTTTGTCTTTTATCCCCTTCCTTATACTTTTTATTTAACGTTGTACTGGAGATTCTAGCCAGTATAATAAAGGCAATAGGAAAAAAAAAGCATCCAGATTGGAAAGAAGGAATTAAAGCTTTTAATTTTCAGACTATTTAATTGCCTAGTAGAAACTCCAAAGAAACATAAAGAAACAAAGAGTAAAAAAGCTGCTAGAACTAATAAGTGATTAGCAGGACATAAGGCTGATATTACAAACATTATTTGTACTTTATACTAGCAATGAAGTGGAAATTTAAAAAATTTTAAAGTACCATTTATAATAGGATCAAAAATATAAAATACTTGGGCTGCAGATTTAGCTCAGTGGTTTCGCTGCCTGCTGCACAAGCGTGAGGACCCAAGTTCCAGCCCCGGTACCAAAAAAAAAAAATAGGAATAAACGACAAAAATATGTAAGACATGTACACTTAATCTATAAAACATTTCCGAGATGTTAAATAAGAATTCAGTAAATGATGAGAAATATATTCATCAATGAAAAGAGTCAATATTGTTAAGATGCCAGTTCTACTTAAATTGATCTGTAGATTTAGTGCACCCCCCGCCCCAGCAGTTTACTTATTAGAAATTAACATGCTCACTGAACTGCATCCCTAGGCCTTTTAAAAATTTTTACCAAGACAGGGTCTTGCCAAGTCATTGAGTTGTCCAGGCTGGGCTTGAACTTGTGAGCTTCCTGCCTCAGCTTCCCAGAGTGCTGGGATTACAGGCTTGCACCACCATGCTTGACTTAACTGAT